AGACACCACTTGAATATGCGGTCATACCGTAGGGTTACATGGAAAATTGAAAGGCAATTTAATTAAAAAATAGGGTGCTAAAACTCCGTTTAGCACTACTTAAAACCCTCGAGTAGGTGAGGCTATTTGCAGTGCTTAAAGTTCGAATGTTTAAAAGTGGAAAAAGGGTACCTTTACCAGGGTGAAAACCCTACCACCTGCTAGTTTGTGATAAATTAAAAGTGAATATCAGTCGATTAATATACATTAGGGACGCTTCCTGATCAGCAAATGTAATTTTCTGAAATGTGCAATAAAAAAGAGGATCGAGAGCACATCATTAAGTTTCACACAAAAAAAAATCATAAACTGTCGCTAGAAATACAATGCAAAACCCCTCTTCCTATAACAAGGTTTTGTGTGCAAAGCTGAAACAACGTGGCTCTCACCACCACACGAAAGGAATGGGAAGAGCTAGGGTGATGATAATTGGCAATCCAAAAGATGGGCTAGGCACGCACGCACGAACGCCTCAGTGCTCAACCAACGGTGGTGGCGATGGTTGCGGCGTTAATTCAAACCCACTTCTCCACCACACCCGTCACGGCTGACCGACTAGCTTCAGGGGGAGGAGCAAGGAGGGGGCGAAGAGACGAATTATTCCCTCGGGGGCACTCAGACTAACCCACTGAAACGTGATGTCGTGAGGATTGGGGAGGGGAGAAGGGAGAGTCAAGAGATATAATCAATCCCCACCCCAAGCGCGTTTCGTCGCCGCCGTCATCGTCGTCTGAGTGAGTAGGGAGGAGAGGCGCGGGGAAACAGACACGTAACAAAACGTGCTCATACGTTAAGGCGAAAACCACCTATAGGCCAAGCACATCGCTAGAATAGAAATGATGCCCCAACCTTCTGTGCAAAAGGTAATCGAGACAGCTCCAAGTCAAGTGAAAATGGCAGGACTGCTGATCTGAGCTATACGGAAAGGGGGAGAGGTAAAGAAAGGGAGGCTATCAAGATGGCATATGGAAATGGAAACACAATCCGACCAACCGCGCTGGCACATTTCTCTGACTCCCACCTCCACCATTCTACCATTTCTGTTCACTCGCCCACCCCGCCCGCCTTTCCGTATGTAACATTTGTGTTCTGCTGTTCGTCTATTCGGACACCACCGCCACCACTAACATTGCTGGCAGAAGGAGGAAGAGGAGGAGAAGCGGTAGTAGCATCAGCTAAAACGACCTAGCGCGGGCGCGTCCGTGGGTGTGTGCACATAGCGGGGAGAAACAGTCGCGTAGCTTCATGCATCACCCCTCCTCTCTCCTCTCCCCTGTCTCTCGCCAACCCGTCCGTCTGTCCATCCACCCGCCCACTCTCCCTCGTTCTCTTTATTGCGCCACACTCCGACTACCACCACCACCAAACTCCCCTGGCCCCTACTCCCCCCGTCGTAGTGTCAGAATCCATCTGTGTGCGCGTGGGGGAGGAAGAGAGGAGAGGGATGAATGAATGGATGGCTGGGTGGGGTGGGACCCAGGCACGGACTATGCAACGCACACGCACGCACGCATACAAGTAGCGCGCGACTGTCATCAGAACTGGGTCGTCCGTGGGCGCGCACACACGTACGCACGAACGAACGCGCACCATTAACGCACATACACACCAGTGCGGTTACACACACACATTTTGAGGCAAAGCCTT